AAATCATCCCATCCCATTTCAGCACTGAAGATGTTACCTAACCGGGTAATGAAACGTTTGCAAGAAAAGAACCAAGCTCAGAGAACCTCAAGGACTCCATACATAAAAGTAAAGAAATAAAACCATCAGCATGCAATGAACAATACCCAAAGGCTCACCTCACCTCACCTCACCTCACCTCCCGACTGGTCTGGAGGGCCTTCCAAAAGACCAGCAGGACTGGAGCCAATCTAACCGGGGAGGAACAGCGTTCCAAGCGTAGATCGCTGTAGATCACCCCCCTCAGTGTGGCAGGAAACTCAGTGATCAGCCATCAGGGCCAAAAAGGATTTTGAGAGAGATTAAAAACAGACTTGGGGCAACGTGCAGGTGGGTCGGAAATGGCAGGATTGCCCGTCGCCCTTGCAGCGAACGACTCCATCCAGGCTGCAACCCCAAACCCGACGGGGTCCGATGATCTTGATCAGCTGAGAGGGCCTTTGCCTCCTCCAGCACCAGAAAGGAGCTCGCCCACATTAATCACGCTGCAAATCAGGAAGCAGAACCCTGAGAAGCTCATCAGCGTCGTGACCACAGTGCAGATGAGAACGCCTACACGCGTGCAGAGTTTATAGCCTCTGCCTGCACGGGGGAAACGCTGAACAATGGATGCTCGAGAAAGAGCAGCTCGACTAGAAATTTCTACCCGAAACCCTCAAGAAGACTTTGAACTTCTGCAGCGGGTTGGCGGAGGGACCTATGGGGAAGTGTATAAGGTAACGTCAACTGTCCCACACGGGGTTTGGCATCGAACGTCGCTGGGGCACCTTGGCTAGGACTTTTTCAACTGCAGGTTCCTTAAACGGTTTTGTTTCGGGCGTTAACAAATGCAGCCAGTATAGATCGGGCTTCAAAGAAAGGCAAGGTAAAAGCTTTATCTTTAAAAAAAAGAAAGAACAGAACGAGTCAACTCCTCCGTGGAACTTTTGGCCACACGATAGAGGGAGAACTAGCCGGTTATCGTTCGCGTTTGTATTCCTCCTGTCCTCTAAACTTCTCCGTCAGCATATGGTAGATTAAAATTCTTGTTGTATCTTCATGATAACCCACAAGGAAGGTTGATTTGAGGAGTCTAGGAATTGAGGAGTCTTGTATTTGTATTCGGGGAGGTTCCTCAAGGAGAAGCAGGCATAAAACGACAGAAGAGTGGACTTGTTTGATTCCCATCGGTGGTCCTGACCCCGTGGCTGTGAAATTCTATAATTTAATCGGTTTGGGTGGGAGAGAAGGAATGGAAAGGAGTGACTGAATCCCAGCCAGCAGCATTTTCTTGAAGATTTTGCTTGTCCTCAATCGGCTTCTCTCTAGGGCTAGTCTATCAACAGGCAAAACAATATGGTCATCTCTGTTACACAAGGGAGCAGAGGAGGAGGATTGCTGGGTTCGTGTAGAGCAGTGTTTCTCAACCTTGGCGACTCGAAGATGTGTGGACTTCAACTCCCAGAATTCCCCAGCCAGCCAGGCTGGCTGGGGAATTCCGGGAG